CTGGGGCCATCGCGTGTACTCCTGGTCCCTCGTCAAGTGCTACATACCAATACTTTTACTCGAACGTATGTTTCTTTATTTGAGATCTTGTCAATTAACAAAACATTTATCAATTCTTTTCAGATCTGGTCTATTCTAATAACCAGCCTTCAAATAGTCTTGCCCACAATATTTCTTCTCATATTCAGTATTAACATATTCATTGGACTTCGTCGTCGACAACAACAAAAGCGACAAGTGAAACCAGGTCGTCGTCATACTTTTCTTGATCGACAAATGTTAATAATTATGCTCACTAGTATCTTTCTCTTTTTTGTTACACAAATCCCATTAAGTCTCTTCCATATTCTTATGATTTATGTTCTTCGACCGAGACTTTTATTACAACAACAACTTGACTTGAATACTATATCCATTTTCGTTGCTTCGATCAATTATTCAGTAAGTTTAATAATATTAGTTTCTGAATTGTTTTCATCATATTATACTTTATTTTAGGCTTCATTCTACATTCACTGCTTTTCAAGTCGACTGTTTCGTCAAGAGTTTTTCAATGTAATACATATTATTCATAATCGCCGTGTAGGTGTTGTAACGCAACTGTTAGGCCTTGGAGTCACTCAAACACAAACACAAACTCAACTAACTCGTTTGCAAGGAGGAAAATCCACAAAAGCATAGACATTCAATTTTCTGTAGTGTCCTTCTTTTTTTGTCATTATTCAATAAAATTTTTAAAAATATCAATTTTTTTCTATGATATTCAAAATTGATCAAAACGAATTCGTTGTCTCAACACGCTATCTGATAGTTTTTCACTCGACTTGGTATTAAATCAACGAATTAGTATGAACCAACATGGATAACTAACATTTTCAATCAGATCATATCTTTGGTGCAACGGAACCTCAAACAACATGATAAATTGAATTGTTGGTCGAAAGATACATCAGAGTAATTGCATCGAATGTAAAATTGACTGGTGATATCTTATCCTTTTCTGCAGAGTGATGAACATTTGTTCGATTCAATCAAGGATGTGAGTGTGGGTGTGAATATAGGTGTTATATTCTCGTCTCAGCAGACACACCCACACTCTTAGGAATATTTTCAGTTAAAGTTGATAAGATACAATTGGAATTCATTTTATTTCTATATATTAGATGCATAATTCGGTTTCAGGCAGATAAGAATTCGATCGGCGCAAGGAGCTTCAATTAAAACTTGTGATTAAAACCAGATTTTCTAACAATCTCTTTATATTCAACATTATTTCGTAGAAAAAACAGACATAAAAGAAATGAACTAACAGGAAGGAAAAGGTAAAAGTCTTTTACAAATGAAGTGAATTGGTGAAGATGTGTTGCTAAAGGAATATAAATCTATCAGAGTGTGATGATGACTGTGTTTATCGATAGAAAATTGAACTTTTGCGAACACTTATGAACAGAATACACTCTCAATGTATTACGTAAGTTCTACATTTGAAAATATCATTCTATTGAGAATTTATTTTTCTTTTTAATAAAGAAAATACATTTTAGAGAAGAACACTGGTAAATGTTTCAGACAGATTTGATTTGAAAAATGTAAAATTCAGGTTTTATCAATTTTTTTTTTATTAAAAAAAAAAGATGGAATGTTTATTTCAGCTTCGACTTATAAGATACCATCAATTCCTTTTTGAAAAATATTAGTAAAATTATTGTTCGTTCCCAATGAAAAGAAAATGAAATATTGTAAAAAATTCAATAAAAAAATGCCTTTTAAGACTATACGATGGAGACAGACCTATTCTCAATATGACTCATATGTATTGTCAATCAATGGAATAAATGAGAAAAAGCTTTTTGATTGACGGTAAAATGTGAAATGCAGTTTAATTGACTGGTAACTTCTACGTGAACTGAGTCATATTTCTTTGACTCACATTCTTGATCCATTTTTTGCCATTGCTTCGAAATACGTTCTTAACCAATAACTAACAGAAGTGAAATTTATCCAATTTTAATGTAAAGTGTTTTTTAAAACAGAAACTCTTGAAACAGAGTAATAAACATTTATCATTAAATGATACTTACCAAAGAATAAGTGAATTGACACAGAGCTTTCATGGTCTACCATGCTTTCAATTTTTTGTGAATAAAATTTGAATTGCAAAATTACAACGACAGACTTGCCGTACAAAAAACAATGACCTACGTCGGTACAAAACATAGCAAAGTGTCTACCGAGTATATGGCACCCTTACTCACAATACCTGTTGAGCTTCTCTATCGTATTTTTGATTATCTTGACGGACAGACAATTATTCTTTCACTTCGCAATGTTTGTAAACATCTCCTTGCAGTCACCAATACTTACGATCGATATGCGTTCGATTTTAGATCAGTGATGGAGTCAGATTTCCGTCCTATCTGTCGTCTCATTCAGCCAGAAAAAGTTATTTCACTTACTCTATGTGACCGACCCAAGATACCAAGTATCATCGAATTATTTTTGTCACTCGTCAACATTCATCAGTTCACTCGACTACGTTCGCTGACTCTTACTGATATTCGAGGCGAGCAATTGCACCAGTTTTTAGAACATGTCATTGACTGTTCGCTCATCTCGTTATCAATAGATCCATATGATCATTATTTTAGATCAAGTTTAATCTTGCTTTCGTTAATTTTGGCACAACCGACTCTTCGTAAATTTGAATCACAGCAATCGAATTATGTCAAACGTTCAATACCGTGGTCTGTACCATCCTTCGTTCGTCATCTGACACTTTGCATATGTTCAAGCGCACAATTTTTCTGTATACTTCGACATTTTTCTCATTTGAGAACTTTTATAACAACCTCCTTAGTGATGGTAGACACCCACCAGAATGATTTAGTATCACATTCACTATTATCATCCTTGACCATTCGACATTGCTATTGTCATTCAATAGAGAATATTAAATCACTGCTTGAATACACACCTTCATTAATCTATTTTCAATTGGTACTAAAGTTTACCAAGAACAGTAATTTCATGTTTAAATCGTTTATCAACGGCTCTCTATGGGAAGAATTTATTCAAACAAAGCTGCCTCTTTTGAACAAATTCGAATTTTTATTCGAAGGTATGTTCGATGATGGGATGCCACCTACAGTTGAATCACTAATTATTCCATTTCAAACACCATTCTGGCTTCAGCACAAGCATTGGATTGTCCATTGTGATCAGAGTATCTCTGAGAACTCAACTAAGATCACACTCTATTCCATACCATTTTGTGACTAAGAATGTCATTTTTCCTTTTTTGCATCACAATAAAAGTGGAAATTGGGTGTGGGTGTGGGTGTGAGTGATAAAGAAATGATCTACAATAACATTCACACCCCGCATCCCGCACCCACGCCCACACCCTACTTCTATCTATCGTTTATTCATCAGCCGTTTACATTCTCATTAAAAGCCCAATATTATATTGTAAGTAAAGTCTGAAAATTCTTCATTTTTATGTCCTCTTTTTATACTACAACGCAAAGTATAGTTTTCATTTTACGTTACTTTTTAACTTACAAATCATAAGTATGGTCGAAGAAGTGTCGATTAATTTGCAAGAATATGTGCAAGTAAAATTATTCTACTTTTTCAAAATGATAATTAAATCGAATATGTCTTTATTTTAGCAACAAATGGTTGGTATCAATATTACACACGTACGTAGATCTCTCACAATGAAACTCGATAAAGTTCTATACGTACTAGAAAAAGTTCTTGTAGCTGGTCAAGTATTATTATTTAAAGTCCTTTTTTTTAGAAATAATTTTCTTTCAAAATACAAGTATTAAAGCTCCAGAAGCTTGTATTCTTGATCGTATGCTGCTTTACTCGGTTGGATCTACAGTTGCACAATCAGCTGAAAGAAATGCTGTTGCACTTACACAATTGAAACTCAAAACAAACAATTTTATTTTTCTTTTGCTGCTCGTGATCGATAAGGAGAAAAAGTGGCAACAAACATGTGTTTTACTGTTTTTGTTTTCATATATTTGTCTTTTTTCTTTCTTCGACTTCCTAGGCGTGCCTTATTTGAGTTGCAACAACAGTACCACATAATCAACGAATTCAAAGAAAACACTATTCATGTTCCATTTCCATCCAAAGTGTTAGATGATTTTCTTGTTTGTATGAGGTCTCAGCTGAACGTGATGTTATTTCTTTAGTTACGAAATCCGGTTATGTATAGATATTTGATATTGGAAGTTGAATATCTATTTTAATGAATTGTAAATTCCTATTTCATAGAGCTATTTAACAACTTTTCCAAAGAAATAATATGTTTGTAGGAGCTTTCCTTGGCAAAACACGGTTGTAGATCGAACTAATTTTAATACTGGGAATCAGTGTCACACATTCTGTCGAATCGAATATATTACAGGTGATTTTTTTCAGGAAAAATATCCCTTTAAATTATTCGAACAAACTTAGTTTTTGGCACTGATTTCGAATATTATAGTCTATTTAACTTACAAGTCGTGTCTTGTCAATAAAAATTTCTACAACGTAGAGACTTGTGAGTTCCGTTTCATCTCAAAGGTAAACTTTTTTCAATAGTTTTTACCGTTTTTAAGAAAATCAAAAGTTACTTCATTTATTTTATATAGATTATGGTATCGCTCGTTCATGATGGACTACAAGGACATGGAAAGAGACTATATATGATAGTCTAGAAAGCTGATTTGTTTGGACAACTGGCGCTCTATTTTTTAGTATTTTCCACGAAAACAATCTCTGGTGTGTTGAAACATCGTCCGAATCAAGATCCATCAAGCGATTTGCGACTATCTTCTTAATAAAAAGCTTATAATAGGGTGATATGTGTATGAGTTATGACTTTGGCTGTAGTTCCTCTGCTCTGTCACACAACCATACCTACCCTCGATTATTCTGAACTAATAAGTATATATGTTTTTGCAGATTTTGTTTCTATTAGCAGTAGTCATTATATTTACCAAATGGCATCACAGGTAATGTTTTTATGTTCAACATTTTAAAAAGATTTTTATTAATTTGTTTAGATCGAAAAACTTAAGTCAAAAGCTAATGATGCTTTTTCAGAAGAAAACTACGATGAAGCCATTGACTTGTATACACAGGCAATAGCACTTGACGGAAATAGTCATTACCTTTATAGTAATCGATCAGCTGCTTACACAAAAGCTTATAAATATAAAGAAGCATTAAAAGATGCAGAAAAATGCCTTAAACTTAAATCGGATTTCGTTAAAGTAAATTTTTTTGTTTTTCGTGTTTTATACTTAAATTTATTAGTTTTATTTTTTCATAGGGTTACTCACGAAAAGGTGCAGCATTATTACTTCTTAAACGATACGAAGAAGCAATTAATACTTATGAGGAAGGTCTTAAAATCGATCCAAATAATGAAGTATTATTGAGTGATCTTGAAACAGCACGAAAAGCTGCCGTTAACGGATCAAAAGTATCGTTGCTTCTTGTTTGTCCGCTCTCTAAAACAATCTCAGTATTAAGAAGTCATTCTCTAAACTAGTTTAAGTAGTTCTACAAAGGCTCTCTAGTTTCGGAAGAATGCTCAATCTAGACAAGGGTAGATCATAGTAAATGGGAATTTCAAAAGTGGTGGTCACACCTTTTATTGAAATATCATATAGCATAGAAAATTTTTATCACTTTTCTATTTTGTACGTAGGCATACACCGAACTCGGAACAGACGAGGAAATCCAGAAGTTCGGTATTTCCGGCTTCTTTGGATTTTTAATGTAGGCCAAAATACAAGAAGAACTGAATACAATGTTTAGGTATCGGGAATGACCGAACCCCTGGAAGTTCGGGTCTGTGCATGCCTATTTGTATGACGCATGGAAAATATCCCCATAAATACGCTGTCAATAACTAAACGATATTGCTGCTTGCTTTTCTCAGCTTAAGTTTTTTATTATTGAAACATTCTAAGGTGCTCTGTTTATTTGTGTTGTGAGCTCTTTTGTCCATTTCAAAAATTACTCTGTGATCTAGAAGTTGGTGGAACAGATTTCTAAAATATGCATCCATTGCTCAGATTTCTGAAAAACTTTGTGTGATTTTTATTTCAAAATACCCATTGAAATTCATCAACAATGAATTTTAAAAATTTATCTCAATAATTTATAGATTTAAGTTTTTCCTTCATTTTGAAATGAATTTCTAAATAATCCACACTGATTTGTCGCGAAAAAACTTTTCGATTCACAAGATCCATTTTCACGGATAGAATTAATAAAACTGCTCAATTATCAGAAATGATTAATTCAAACTTTTATCGTATAGTAGTTACATGATATCTGCAATTTTTGAGAAATTTTTATCGAAATTGGCGTTATGGTTTAGAAAATATCATTTATTTTGCTGCAGACTCCAGGAGTCAATCAAAATTCATCTTTATCAATCTTCGTTTGCAAAGGTGATCTAATAACACAAAAGGTGACTAGGAGTTCGCAAAAACAATATAGCGAATTGAATAATTTACTTTTTCTCTACTAGACTGATGTTATTGTTGTATGTTCATCATCGAAATTTTTATTTGAGAAAATTTGTAAAGCTGGTGGAAAATCTGTATTAGCTTCCTACAAATCGCAACTTAAAAAGTCTCAAAATTCTGTTATATCTGTTCAAGCAGACGGAGAACTTGCATCAAAACAAATTTACTTTCTTTCGTGGAAAGCTGATGCTGATGCATCTACACTTCGTAAATCAATTGAGAAGTTTGTTTCGGATGCTTTTGAAAAAGCAGTAGAAGAGAACCATCACAGTATGGCATTTCCAGCTATCGGTTGTGGTCAATTTGGATGCTCAATCGATCTTGTTGCACAAGCAATGATTCGAGAAGTTCATCGTAAACAACAAGAGCATGGCATATCCGTTACATTTGTAATACAACCAGAAAAAACCGATATTTATGACGCATTTCAAAATCAAATTCAGTTATTGGAAGCCGAAATATCACCGACTGATTTGAAAACGATGTCTGCAACAGTTAAAAAAGGAGTAATCGAAATTGAACAAGGAAACATAATCAAACAGAAGGTATTTTGAAAAAGGAATATGCTTATGAGATTTCATTGTGTCTATACTTATCTTTGATAGGTAGACGTTATTATTGGTACTTCATCATCAGGATTCTTAAGACAAGCAATAACAGAGGCAGCTGGAAATGAAGTTCAAAAGGCTTATAAGAAAGAATTAAACAATCATCCGAATTCTACACTAATCGCAGTGCCTTCAGGCGCTTTACCTTGCAAACAAATATTCTTTGTCAAATGGGAGCCTAATGATAATGAGGATATACTTCGACAGTCCATCATTGATTTTATATCTACTGTTGTACAGAACATGATATCATATAAATTTACATCGGTTGCATTTCCAGCCATTGGATGTGGGTTACATGGTTGCTCGACACAAATTGTAATTGGCACGATGATTCTAGAAATGAAAAAGCATCTTTTGAAGAGAGATTTATGTTGGAAAATAAAATTTGTTGTCCAATCTGATCAAGAGAATATTTATGATGAATTTTGCAAAGTGCTAATAACCCACGATGGTAAAATGAAACGTTTCTTTAAATCGTTTAAATTTGATCGCGCAACATATGAAACAAGCTTAGAGGTTCTTTATCAAAAGAAAAATTTCAATATCCGCATCGTATTTATAGTTCTTACTTATAGCAAATATTTAAGTACATAGTATTCGAATATAGTCACTTTCTTCTTCTGAGTTTTTTTTTTCGTCGAACTTTGTACCGTTAGTTTCCTAAATCAGAAGATAATTATTTTTATGTTAATCGAACCTTTACGAATAGTTGACATCTAGCCTCGCACCGACTATATATTTAGATCATACTATAGTTACAATACTCCCTGAATCAAGACCTCTTAATGCTCAGCACGGAATCGTCTCACATGTAATATCATATATGAATTTATATTGAGTAAATAGTGAAATGTTGATCAGACTACAGAAATTTTAAAAAGATTCTGGCTAACTGACGTTTCGAGTGGCTTCACAAAATTTTCGACTTGTTTCTTAACTGTTGACTTGAATATCAACCAATTCAATGTCGACCTGAAAGTCAATTCATAGAGAAATAGACTCACTTTCAAGAGATCCTATCCGTTTTAGTGAAAATGAATATTCTTTTGTCGAGCTGTAGAATGTCCAAAGATACTTATCTCTGATGAAAGTTCAACTTGTTTTAAGATGCTGTATCTTGAGGGAGGAACATTCAATTGGAATTTTCACAGAATCATTCAAGGGGAAAAAAAGCAGACTTCTGTACTTCTGACGTACAGACGTCTGGTTTCTCCCATTGGAAGCATTGTATATATCTCTGGCTCTAAATTTCAATAATTCAACTATCAATGAATATAAAGAAATGGGTCGAAAATTTAGCAAAACAATTATAACTTAACATCAAACATCCATAATCATGGACCTTCTAGATTCGCTCTTGTTTCATTGAGACTCTCTTATAAACTAATATACGTAGATTCAAACGACGGCTGACAGTTGTAATAGTTCTGTTTCAGCAAAACTCTATCTTACTAAGTCATGTGAATCTAGCTTACACCGGTCAAGTGTACCGTTTCAAGTTGTTGATTAAATTTAAACAGCAAATGATCTTGAGAGTACATATAACGACACCATCATAGCTGACTTTGAGATCATTCTTGTCTATGTAAGAAAGAAAAACCATGTTTTTAAGAGAATTTTATTTCCTGACTTTTCAATAAAATTCCAATTTGATTGCTGGGTTTTGCATGACAACAACGCGTAGAAAAATTAACCAAGCAGTGGTTTATGTGTGAATTAATGTGAAAACACCAAATTTGACAATATACGAAATTCTAAGTAAATCAATTTTCATAGATCTTCATGAATCAAAGATTTGTCAATTGCCACCGACATGGGAAAAGTCAACAGAACATAAAATTCGATTCATAGTGCCTGCTACGACAGATGAATACCAATCTATTGTTTCGAATTTCGATCAGACAATGAAAGGAAAGTATACAGAAATAATACATATCGAACGAATTCAAAACGAACGATGGTATAAGCAATACATCGCACATCGTGAAGATTTCATACGACGTCTTAATGAGAATACCGAAAAACGCTTATATCATGGATGTCCTGAACAAGCTGCTAGTTTAATTATGGAAGATTGTTTTAATAGAAGTTTTGCCGGAGTCAATGGTAATTTTAACTCTTGTTGTTTTTGTACAGATTTAAAATGTCTGTCTTTTTATATCCAGGAACTGTTTATGGTTTTGGTGTTTATTTTTCATCTAATGCATCCTATAGTCATGGATATACGCATGCGAATGAAAATGGAAAACGATGCATGTTTATAGCACGAGTTTTGGTTGGAAAAACCACCAAAGGAAATAGTTCGATGAAAACTCGACCACTTGGATTCGATTCTACCACTGACGAGAAGCATATTTTCGTTACTTATCATGATGCTCAAGCCTATGCCGAATATTTGATCACATACAAGTAAACTTCAAACAGACAGCTCATCGAGTTGCACAAACATGTTTATTAGTTTTACCAGAAAAAGTTTTTTTTTTGAATAAATACATGTTTTGTTTAAGTTTATGTATTTGACAATACAAGCAAAGCTTTACCAAGAAACTTATTGAAGGTAAAATTTGCAAAGTAGTTGTTATAGAGTACACAGTGAGTCATTAATAGGGTGAGTTGGTGCGAGTATCGCTTTGGAAACTTAAGCTTTCATTAAACCACATAACAACCCACACTCTAGATGTTCCCATATGTGTGTAGTGTAATGTGAAAATTGACCCACTAACAATCCTAATTAAATAAATAGGGTGTGAGTGAGGGTGAGATTGTGGTTTCTGGATATGTCTGAAGAATAGATTCACATCAACACTCACACCGACAAATGACTATTTCTATTCACTGTTTCGTCCGTGACCCGACAGTTGAGCTCCCGACAGATGAGCCCCGACAGTTGAGCCCCGACAAATGAGCCCTCGACAGTTGAGCCTACCGACAGTTGAGCCTACCGACAGTTGAGCTCCCGACAAATGAGCTCCCGACACTTGAGCCTCATATTAAAAAAAAATTTAACAAAGCCTGATGAATAATACGTCGTGATGGATCATGCGATATTGTTGCACCAGAACTGATATTTGATTTGAATTCCACTGATATTGTTTCTTCAGGATTTGGTACATGAAGATGATCAGTAACTTTAATATAATCTGTTCCATCAAAACGTACACGACCAGCACAGTCATTTCGACAACAACGCCAAATAATTTGAGATTTATTTGCACGACGATAACGATAACCACTAAGTAAAAGTTAATCCTTGTTTTTTGAAGATTTCACGATTGACATTGTTAACGATAATAGAAAAATAAACCAAGAATGATAAAGCTGTTAGCACAATCCCCTGCGGGATTAAAAATGTGAAACACGATGGACCTACTGTTACTAATTAAATGGAAATCCTTTTGTTCCATTTCCTTACGACACATTTGTAGCTGACCGTATATTTGATGCTTTACAACTACAATTCCTGTGTCACGGTCTGTGACGGGTACCTGAATTCTCTGTCACGGTCTGTGATGGGTATGCATTTTCTCTGTCACGGTCTGTGGGGGGTCTACCCTATACACTTCAACACTCCTTTCAGATCGTGTTTCACAAAAACCTTTATGAGTCACAGAAATATTGTTCGAAAAACTTGTTCATTTCTGTACAGATGATTGACTTAGCCACGAAAAATATATCGACGAGCCATCAGTACTATCGAAAGATGTCTCATGTTTCCGTGCACTATTTTCAAGTGAATTAGCGATTCAATAATAATTTCGTGTGTTCTATATTTAATCGATGAAATTTCAATTTTGTGAGGCTCAAATGTCGGGAGCTCATTTGTCGGGAGCTCAACTGTCGGTAGGCTCAACTGTCGGTAGGCTCAACTGTCGAGGGCTCATTTGTCGGGGCTCAACTGTCGGGGCTCATCTGTCGGGGGCTCAACTGTCGGTGCACCTGTTTCGTCGTCCATCAAACAAAGAATTCATTTTTTTCAAGCATGATGGACCTTCTGCTCATTATGCACGTGATGTCCGAGAATGGTTTGAGCGGAATTATCCAGTGAGATGAATTGTTCGCAGAGGTTCCATCGATTGGTCCACCAGGTCCCCTGATCTAACACCTAAAGACTTCTTCTTGTGGATGCATCTCAATGAAATCGTTTCTGAAAGTAAGACTAAAAGTCTATGGGACGACAGACAATCAATTATGTCAGCGCTTCAAACACTTGATTCTGATCTTTGCAATAATGTTTGTGAGTCAGTGTCTCAACGACTGTACCAGTGTGTTGATGCTGATGGACATCAGTACTACTAATTGAACTCAATAATAGTAGTTAAAAACAGTATTCATTGATGGTTTTCTTGAGAGTGTGGGTGGGCATTACTATGTGTATTCCCATTCAGGAAACGTTTGCACTCACACCTATATCTACACCCATAATCGGTAGGCGTTAGTGTAGTTTTCCTATTAATCCTGACTTCGGCAAGTGTCTAATCACACTCATAATGGAACTGTTTATCATATCAGTCGATTTCCTCAATTATTTTGATATCAAATGATAGCCCTCAACGATAAACTACCAAATTAAAAATATGAGCTGCTGATGGCAAGCCTGGGCCGAATTATTCAAATTGTGAGGTATTGGTAGTATAGATGTATGAGAAAAACAGAATTTTTCAAATTCAGTTTTTTTGCACTAGCAAGTGGGTTTTTAGCATTATTGTGCTAGTTTTGAGATTTTCTGGAGGTTTAATATTACGCAAATGAGAAAAAGAAGGTTCTGCTCATCATAACAAAAACTTGTTTGATGCTTCTGTTCTTATTTAAGTCAAAAGTAATATGAGATGCAATCTATCTTTATTATGCTACACTACAAATGAATATGAATATTTTCAATCAGATGATAATGAGAAAAGTGTTTCTGCACCTTGCACAAATTAGAAGTGCTCGATTTTCACAATTAATCATTGAACAATAGAGATCATATAACTTGAAACAAATATCGTTCGGTTTTTGGACATCTTCCATGATTTCATGAATTATTCCAGCATTTATAAATTTCGATTTGGGGTGTGAGGGTGTGGGTGTGGGTGTGTCTGGGTGTGCGAGGTGTGGGGTGTGGGTGTGGGTGTGGGTGTGGATATGCGTAATGTTCTTCCTTCCTTCACACCCACACCCACACCCTATAATTTACGTATATCTATTCGATTCAGAAGTAATTTCATATGGCCGAACACCATAATTTACATTTAAATAATGGATAATCGTACTTGAACAAACCATAGTCTCACAAATTTTTTTTTCTAAACTAATTGTTATCATGATGTATATAAACAACTATTAGACGACGCTGAAATATGAAAGATCAGAGTATTTTATGTAAGGAGAAAAACTATCTGGACGCACTTTTTAAACTATAGTTGAACTGAAAGCTGCTTGGCATGCATATTTAACGAGAGCCGATGAAAAACATAAGACAATTATTGTGACGTTGTTCAAAAGATTTGGATAATGAATCGATATCTTGAACTTGATTTTCATACATAGAATTTAGCTTTTTGTTGTTATAAATCGAAAAACAACTTACAAGGAATAAAATCGATGGATTGATCATAATTGTCAAAAATATTATTATCGTCACTTTCTTCTATATCACTATTCTAAAGAATAACTCTCAAAGTTTTTTTTATAATATGATACCAAAGGAATTCAGCTAGATTTATTCTTTCCAAAAAAAGGCTTCGTTTGTCATTGCCAATTTCAAAACACATATGAAGATGTTACATACATACTATTGTGTCCGTTTGTTTGAATGTTATGATCACATTTGAACCCAGTTCAGACATGTCAAAAATTCACACAAATAGATTGCTATACCTTTCTGGTATGTTTACAAAAGCATTTTTTCATATATTCATATGCTCGAAAAAAAAACGTCTATTCGCTCCTCGAACAAAAATGGATGATGTATGGTTTTTTTTAAAGAAATCACTTTCAAATGAGTAATGTGTAGTACAAAAGTTTTACATTAATTTCATTTTCATTCCGATGTTGTCCATAAACGTTCTAGAAGTTTAATTTATCTTACATTAAAAAGAGAAACACTAAGATTATGAATTTTGATTTTTTGATGTATCCATCAAAGAAATGAAATTCTCAGTATTTTATGTATGTCTTTGTTTATTTGCAACTTTTTGAATTTTGATATGATCGGAGTAGCATATAGATTAACATAAAATCTTGGAAAACATCGTTTTGCTGAAATATTGTCTTATAGAGAATTTCATAGAGCATCGTTTACTAAAAGACTCAGTTTAAAAAGTTGCAAATGAAAAAAAGACATACACAAAATATTGAGAGGTTCAGTTCTTTGAAGGATTTCCAAGTAAGAAAAAAAAATAAAAGAAGACGTTCGACATGATCGGTCCGGAATATCCATAGCACGCGTCAGTTGTAGTCTGAAACGTCTTGCATACTCGTCATGACTAGTCACGTTTTAGAGAAATATCCTTCAAACACATCTGGAATAGTCCAGAATGTCCTGGAGCCCAGTCATGTCTATTCCATTTTGTTCGTTGACCTCGTCCAGACTAGTTGCAAGACTAAAAAAACAGAAGGGGAAAGCTGAATTTCAACATCCAAACGGACAGTATTCAAAACCTGACGAGCATCCTGACGGCAAACTAGGACACTGAGATAGACTGACATCAGTTTATACAGTCTAAGTCACAGAGTGACTCCTGTCTATCAACTAAACAATTAGAAAGTAGCCGATGCCAAACGTCTTTAATAGTAGTCAGGACGAGTCCTTTTGTAAAGAGTGTGTCATCCATCCTAGTCTGAAAAACTCTAAACAATCCAGTTTCTTTGGACAAAAATGTTTTACTAAATCCTATTAAATTTTGTATATGTTGAAAATATATAAGAGTATGTGGAAACAAAAAAGTAGGAGTAACTACAAAATACAATATTTAACTCGCAGCGAGGACTATTAATTTATATATTCTAGAATTATTAGATGCCCCAAAGCTGATATTAACGTGATTGAGTTAATTAATGATAAATCAAACGTGATAAACAATAAACAAAAATTTTTCTACAAGGAAAATAAGTAGAACTACAACGACTTTTAAACCATAAAATAGAAATATTTCTAACAGATATGGACCAATGCAATTAAACATTTAGTACACATAGTGTTAAATAATAAAATAAGAAGTATTTTATTGCTTTCGATAGAAATGTATCAATAATCTGGTTGAAACAGAATATCTTATGCAAGAATCGAAGAAGAATCACAGTGTTTTACAATATTTAGTCTAACAATTAATCATCTTTTGAAATATCAATGAGCATTTACTATTCTTTCTTTTTTGATTTTGAATAAATAATAAAGAACCATTAATCTGTGAAAATCAATGTTTTGTTTTG